CAAATATGCTAGTTTTAAGAACATCAAATTTCCAAGGGGCAACTATCAGACCGATAGTTCCGAGACATAAACACTCTATTGTTTTTATTGTTCACCACTAAATTTTCTTCCGTGCCTACAGCTTGTCACAAATGTCAATAATTCGCAACCGTACATTGGCTAAATAATACGTTATACCTGTCAGAATTGAAAAGTCACTGTTTTTCCGTTCTGCCTAACTTCGTGGCCGTGAAACTATTCAAAACTTTTCACGGATGAGTACTATCAATCCAGGTATTTTCTGCAGATGGGCACTATCCATCCAGGTATTTTCCGCTGGCGGGCACTATGGGCTGATAGTGTCTCTCCACAGATGAACACTATCACATCACGTGATCGATTTAAACCAATAAGAACCGGAGAAAATTTAGTGGCGAACTATAATCAGCGATAGTTCTTGGGAAAAAAGAGAATTTAAAAGTGTCTATTTTGGCCATTGGGACCTTATATTTAAAAGCGTGACTTCGACGTGTACGTAGTTCATGATTGTGGGATATTAAATTTTCAAGGTTGATGTCTATTACCATGCACAGTCTCTATCTATATAATAAAAACACTTTGCAAATTAATGGTTACACGGGAGAATCAAATATCTAGTATACAACATTCTAACTGGCCAGAGGTAAACCAGCTGACTATTTCAAGGGGGCTGAAACCACTTGCCAACCATGCTTTCACCCTGATATAGGGAAAGATGGGAATGTATTTAAAATTTAGAGGTATAGGCTATCCACACTGGGCATTTATTATTTATTTATTTATTTATTTTACCGCTTACACACACACATACAAAAATAAATTACAGTTGTTTTACAACAATCAAAAATAATAACTGTAATGATATCATTATACAACAAAGTATACTTAATCTATATAAAATTGCTATTTATGATTATTTATAAAAAGTGTGGCGAGGAAGCCCAGCAGAAGCTAGTAGCTTATCAACCCTGGGTTCCTCACAGGAGGTAGAAGATAGATTTACTAATTATGGGTGGGTGAGTTTAATTTAGTTTTCTGTCCATGAGGAATTTTTTTGAGTGAATTCTTAAAGGTGGAGAATCTTTACGATAGGATAAGATCACAAGGTAAGGAATTCCAAACCTTTGGACCTTGGTGCATGATTGTAAACTTCTTGATATTAGTTCTGCAATAGTGTGTACAGTAGTTTCTATTATTCTGAGTATTGTATTATTTCAGCTTTCACCAACTAATACAAGTGGAATTATAAGAATTTACTTGTATTTATTATAAATAATCCCAAATGATTTTATTCTCGACCAAAAAAATACAAACACACCGAATATGTGAAATTTACATATCTGAACTGTGGTTATAGTTCGCTGCAAGGATCGTGCACAAATATGTTTCTATAACCGCAGTTCAGATATATGAATTTCATATATTTGTTGTGTTTGATTTATCATCTTAGGGGTTTATTTCGGACTAATTTGATGACCTGCTCCCAGTTGGCTTGTTAGCCCAACTGGTAGAGCACTGCACTAGTATCGCAGAGGTCAGTGGTTTGAATCCCGTACGGGCCTGAATTTTTTCAGGTCTGATTCTCACTCTTGCTTAAATAGTGCTCTTTACTGCAAGGATTGTGCCCAAATACAAAAATATACATTTGGATATTTCAAAATTGGCCCATGAAAATGGAAAAATTTGGATAAAATAATCAAAATACCTGGACTTTATATTAACCAGCATTGGTTAATATAAAGCAAGTTGTACTCACAGAACAGTGAAATTTCAGGATAATTTACCAGAAAAATAATCAGAATATTACCTCAATCCACCAAGAAAGTAATCAATCACTCAATCAATCAGCTATTTTACCTGAGGGCTCCTAAGAATGTGCAAATAAAAGAAAAATTGACTAAAATGAAAACATTTACATACTCTTCTCACTTTATAAATTCTCAGTTTTGCTATTGATGTGTTGGTTTTCAATCCTTTTGTGGGCAGTCTATCAATCACTTGTTAAGTTTGCTAGTAAATCAAACTCACTGAGATTAGACTAATCCCAGAATGATGTATTTGCAGTTGGTTGGTTGATTAAGTTGTCACTGAACTTTAAATAAATAAATCAGCCTTAATTGTTCAATTCCCCAGTTAATTGTCTGACCTCATCTTAAGACAGTGAAAAAGTTTTGAAACAAGTTTCTTACCTGAATTAATGAAATGAATTACTTCCACATACCAACAGAAACTCTGATACAGTTCAGTATTTAAGTTTCCAAGAACTCTTTTCTCATTATAAGAACATTAAGTGCAAAGAAAATTTGCCCAAACCTCTTAAATATATTTGCACTTATTTTCCAGACCCAGTCATACTAGGGTTTGATATCACTATCAACTGGATAAATCTCTAATTCTTTGGATAGCACAGTATGTTTTGCTATGCCTTTTGATATGTTTGTATAAGGTTAGGCATGGGGTATTGTAAAGTTTAGATTCTCCTTGGTTTACTCTTGGATATTATTCTTCATTTACATGACCTTTATGTTTGATAGTGTTTTGATATTGTACAGAGAAATTCTCCTTTAGCCACTCATACATGTAGGACTGAAAGAGTTAATCACATGCTCATACAGTGTATATAATTCATATTTGACAGTTTTGATTTTGGCCAATTCAGTTTAGTGTAATGTTGACTGGCACGATCTGGGTATGACTGTTCCAACCACTACTATAAACTTTTAAATCAGCCTGAGCCTGGGGAAATTCTTGATTTAGTTTTATAGCTTTAAAGAGAGTTATCCTTATGATATTTTATTATGGTTCTGTTATGATATATACAACAAGATAAAACTACACAATACTTGAAAGACATATCCGAATCCAAATTAAACTTGCATTCTTGGAGTAGTGCAACTATTTACCTTTCAAATGACTCACCCTCAATAACAAAAATGTGGTAAGGCCTCTGCATTTCTTCAGAGAGATATTAGCGTAAATCACTTAATTACAGTGTCTTAAAGGTTTAGAGTACAATTAATTAAAAAGCACTTTAAACTCGGTTATTGTCTACAACACTTGCACCACTTCCTAATTCAAATTGAAATTTAATTATTTCTAATAAGTGTACTGTACCTGTACAATGTCACACTCTGTTTGCTGTGAATAGATGGGATTAAAATGTGAAAAGGAAGGGGGGGGGGGTTGTAGCAAACTGGGGTTCCAACAGTCTCTGTCACAAGTTAGATCAGTAATAAATAACACCTATGTGGTATGCTGTTCATGTAGTCTCCATTCTACTTAGAGGAGGGGGGGGGAATGGTTGTTAGTTTTAAGTCTTCATATGATTTTATTCTTAAGGGCCTTTGGCTGGGTGTCCTCTTGATACACAAAAGTAGTCAGGTCTCTAAAACAGGATGATCACAGGTTTTCTAAATCTAGTACAGAATATTCTCTCAGAACACAGCAAACTTTTCTTCATGGAAATAAAGGCTGATAGTTTCTAAAGAAACTGTTTGGGGCTGCGTCGGTGGGGGTAACGAAATAATTTGAATATATCAACAAAGTTGAAATGGTAAATTGGCCACCGTTACGATTATAAAAGCTGACGTTTCGAGCGTTAGCCCTTCGTCGGAGCGAAATGAAGAAGGGCTAACGCTCGAAACGTCAGCTTTTATAATCGTAACGGTGGCCAAGTTACCATTTTAACTTTGTTGATATATTCAAATTATTTTCTTCATGGGGTTTAATGCCACAATCTAGATGAAATATTTTTGTTTTTAAAAAGGAACGTGTTTTGTATCAAACTAGGGTATGAAGCTAGCGGCGCAACTCCAAACCACCGAGAATCATCTAAGGTGCTTGTTCCCCCATATGCATCGACCTTCAAAACTTTGGGTCGACCACATCGCCAGTCTCCCTCGCAGTTGTCTTGGGGATGTCACGTAAGGTAACCCTCGAAAAAATCTTGCGTGACATGCGAAAGAGGCAACTCTATCGCGTGACGCCTAAACTATGTGGCGTGAATAATTAGAGGAATATTGCAGATCTTCATGTCATTAAGTTAATTTGTCGGTTTGTAGCGTAAAACCCAAAGGAACCAGGATCTCGTATATTGAAAGGAAATTCCTCCATCCTTTATCGAAAAAAAAAAAAAAAAACAAAGTTGATATTTCTACAGTGGAGCATATTCCTACATATCAAGCTTAAGATTATTTGAGTGATAAAGCGAAAATCTTGCTTTACGTTTAATGAATCAGATATTTTCAGAGTAGGGCAATACGAGAATGTTTCACAAGAATTGCTTTCAAATCGTAACTGTGAAGTTGAAGTTGTAGGCGCACCATGCAAATTCAATTTTTAATACCCCTTTCCTCAGCTAATAACCTAATTTTCTTTCAGTTTCTCCTTGCTAGTTCAAG